AAACACTGTATGATTCCATATTTAATATTTATGGGTGATTCATTGATGAATATCATCACCACAATTATGAGACTTACACTTTGGAACAAATTTGTTTTGTATATCCAATTACTTTATATAATTCCTACTGTTTGAGGTCATTGAGTTTAGCAGCACACACTAAATTGTATGTCCATTTCAGAGGTGAACAAATGCTGGTGCTAAATTGAGATTTTACTGTACTCTGGAAATGAAAATCAGTTTATTTGATGCATTTTATGTTGTTTAAAAAAGTTTGATAATTGAACAAAAACATAGTTCAAAAAATAAATTCCTTGTGAAATTTTTTATTACATGGAAGAAATAAGAGAAAGCAAAATGCATAAAAATGAATTAAGTAAACAATATTATCATGTGATATCTTTGTTTGTCAAGTTTGGATCAGGTGCTGAATCAGATTTGGATTCTCATGATTTTCATTAATAGGCAGTTATAATAGGTAATGTTATTGTTCTTCATCTCTCATCCATGCTGATAAAATCCATTGTTATCTGGTTTGTCTATAGTAGACAAAATTGATGCAGACCATATGAGTTCACAATCAGATGATAGTGACAAAAAAGTGATTGAAAAGATAAAGAATTTGATATTTCTATTGAAAAATAATCTTATTTGTGATTTATATCCGTGTTCAGTAAAATTTTTTCAGATAACTCCTTTCCACCAGATTTTCTTAGAAAGAATTTTTTTTCAATAGGACTTTGCTTTTAACCCTTAAGCCAACCACCAGATTTGTAATCCCTTTTGTGTGAAATACTCTGAGGCAATCAGTTTCACCCTTTGTGTGAAATACTTTGAGGCAATCAAAATCATTGGCATGTTGTATTAGGTGTAAAAATTCATTTCTTTTCCAGTTTCAATGTGTTTGTTTTTTTTCTATTGTTTATATTCTCAACAACAAGTTATCTTGTTTTATTAAACTAAATAATATAACAAAGCCAATGAATTTAATCTTTCCATTAAGTTAATAAGTATCTCATAAAATGAATATTGATGATGACAAATTTGGGCAGTTTTGGAACCTGTTTGACCTGAAAGAGGGATTTGTTTGACCAAATAGAAAAGAAATATTGAATGTATCATATCAGAAAAGTTAAAAAAAAATGTATATTTCAGATTAAATCAAACATTCAAGATTGTATGCATTAAATTTTCGCATACAGTTTTCAGAATTACATGATGTATTAATAAACTTTCTTGCAATATAATATTAATCAATACATAGAATTTTTCATATAGGTTTTACTGTATTGCCTACACAGTAGCTTGTGTAGTGTTACATTAGAATACTAATTATGTATTACTGTTGGATATACAGGGTGTCCCAGAAGTCTTTCCCTGATTACAAACATGCAGAAGGCAGTGTCTTTTATCTTGGATTGCAGGTAACATATTCAAGTTTTGTGTGTACATACATACTCATTAATAAATTTCAACATGTGCTTCTTTTGTTGCTCAAAGGATATCCAGCGATAGATATTCCAATTCCACCCATGTGTTGGTCAACATATTGTGAGGGATGGATGTTATGATGTCAGTAATTCTGTGCCGTAATGTTACAATCAGTGGCATGCCGTGACATTTGATGATAGGGAAGTTGTGTTTCTGTAAGAAGCTGACATCCAGGGGCAATCAGTCAATTGTGCCTCCGTGATGGTCTAGGGTCCATTCGTATTATTTGTTTGATAAGCCAGTAAAAACTGTAGACTTCTAAATGCATTTTTAATATCACAATTACATTCTGAATCGCTAGCCATGATATAAGGGCTACAATTAAAAATAAAATATGTAAGTTCGCCGATTTTGGGGCAATACGTTAATTGCGCATCAGGAAAACCTAGGGTCAAACCGTATGTGGGTGGTGGCAGTAGGAGACAGAGATGACGAGTGTCTTACACGAAAACCGTTTATTTTGACATGAAGTTAACTTACATAATATGAATAACAAAATTTAGGAACGTTGGACGTCGGGTGCTGGAGGGTGTCCCGGGGCTTCCTTGATGAAGAATTCGACGGAGAAGGATGATGTCCTGTGTTCGGATTCACACTCCCTTCCTCCGAGTAGGCGGAGAAGCTTGGACGGACGTGGCTGGTAGATGTACGGATGACCTGAAGTTTTCTAGGCACGAGTCTCGGGGAGAATCGGCTCCGTGTCCTTGAGATTCGGGGGTTTTATAAGATTTTTCCAAAACCCCACCCTTCTGATTGGTCCCCTTCCTCCTCTCCCTTACCCCGATTGGTCACTCTTTTTGTTTCTAGGCGAAACCCGAGACCGATTCGGATCGGGAAAAGGTCGGAGAGGTGATGACTGTCCTTTAACGTTCGCGCTCGTATTTTACTCCGTTATGTCCCTTTTCTCTGTCATCTTTGAACCCAAACGGTCCACCAGATGTTCTTGTGGCCATTCATCCCCTACCGCGTTCTTACTTAACAGCTATCCCTTTTGTTCTTAGACCCCCCTTTCTCCCGCTTGCTTCGACCCGGTATTTGTTCGCGCGCATCCCGACAAAGCTCTCCCTCTCTCTCTGTCGACATTCCCCCCTGTTATTTATCGTCGCGTCGCGTTTGTTTTACAATTCGAGAAAGTTTTCGTCTCATCTGGGCTTTGTCACTAACACATCCCCTTGGCCTGATTCTATCCTCGAAACTTTCTGCCGTTAAAGTTTGTAATTAGTCGTATTTCCGACGCGCTTTTACGACCCTCACAAATAATAACTTACTTGGTGATATAAAATGTGTGGTGGATGTACCAGTACTGTACATACCTGGTACAAAATATTCTTCAATTGTATGAATATACTTTTAAAGAAAATTATAATTAAATATAGCTTTGTAAAGAAACGTACATAAAAATATAAAATATTCTTTACTTTTTAAATCTTAAAACAATGCACTTAGTCAAATAGCTCTCTACCAGTGGCTAATGGATGGAATCGAAGACGATTGCAGAGCGTGCATACACATGGACTGCCAAATCCCTAGGGTGCCGATACCGGTCAATGTCAAATACCTCTTGTCGCATCACTAGTATAGCTCAAAGGACGCGACAGGATTGTTGTAGATTTTAAATGTTTCTCACCATAGCTGTAAAAATCTAAATATGTTAAACTTAATAGTCTTTTGTTTTCTAACTAATTCGTTTTAGGACCA